ATATTTGATAATATTTAGTTGGAGTGGTAGCACTTTAAATAGTGCCTACTAAATGTAAATTCATAAATCTGGTGAATCTAAGCTGAGGGCCACCAAAGGGATTCCAGATAATACATAAGCCCTTAGGATACTGGGGTCTACAACTATGCCTGCAATCTTCAGTAGCAAACCCTAAATGTGTGACCACTTAGTTTTATTGTCTTGTGACTAGAGCTTCCAAAAAGTTGAATGTGCTTCCAAAATCTATAAAATACAAAAAATCATTCTTGCTTAATTATGTGTTTTATATTTGTGTATAATTATGTGTTGATTCATATTATTCATTTTAATCACCTTGCCTTCTGGACAAGCTTGCATAACCATGTACTTTTATTTTATGCAAATCAACATTTAGAAGGGCCTTTGTATGTGTGTGCCCAGGTAACTGACTAAATAGAACAAATAACGGAGAACTATTATGGAAACTTGGCAGATTAGAACCATACATATGCATCACTTCAAAATGATTTCTCATGTATTATCTCATTCCCAGCCCAGTTACAAGCCCAGGAAGTAAATTAATAACCACCATTAGTCACAGTATGCATTTAGGAATAATTTAGGCACTGTCACTTCATAAATTTATAGATGTATATACATGATGTTTATATACACCGTTATATATCATAGACAGTATATCCAAAACTTCTCTTGAAGCTGTCCCTTTCTCCACATTCTCACAGGGGCCACCCTAGTTTTGAACTCCTTCTCCCTTACCCACACTTTCTCTCCTCTTTAACCTATCCCACACTCACTGCTATCAGCATCCTCTACCTAAACATAGATCTGGTTACTTCCCTCCCCTGCGTAAAAACCCACCATACCCTCCCACTCTCTACCTAGTGTTTCACCAAGGAGCCTGCTGAAAAGTTAGAACAGACCAGAGCAGGTGAAAACACTCCTTAAACGACTCATGTTTTGTCTTTCATATGTATGCACACTTTTTCATTCTAATCCATAATTTATACTTGTTGGATTTAATATAAGTATCATGGTTTGGACTGTTCCCATTTCTAGGACAATATGCAATGGCAAGCTGGTCTTACAGCTTCACAAAACCCCTGGCATATAGCCTCTTCCTCATGCCATCAGAGAAGCCCAGACTAAGGCCAGATAAAATGAGAACTCTGCAGAGACATTCAGGACACCTCACAGATTGCACCCCTACTGTCCCAGACTCATCTAGCACCGCCTACCAAAGAAAAATCATAGCCTCCCCCTAGTAAGGTGTGCTCCCAGATCATAATTCGTACAAAGGGGTCTGTAAAACTACTAGTTAATACTATATCCTTCTTTTAGAACGTCTCAATAAACATAGCACATTAAATTTTCAGAAAAGTCTTGCAGCAAAACTTGCAGTAAATATCAGCAGGGAGCCAGAGTGCCACATAATACACCCTGCGCTGTCTTCCACCGTGCTTTCTAACTTTCCTCACCCTGTTACCACGACCTGGAAAGCCTTTCCTGTTTTCTTCAACCAGAAAAATTTTTCTCACTTTTAAAACTCTAACTACTTCCTCTTTGAAACCATTGTCAGCCACCCTGGTTGGAAGTAATGTTTTCCCTTTGTAGATCTGCGGCACTTTGTATAGATATTACGTTAAATTTCATCGCATGTAGTAATCTTGGATTTACTTATTAGTCCCCTAGCCAGATGATGAGATCTCTGAAAGTAAAAACAGTCTCTTATTCTGTGAATTCTCAGAATCTATCAGTTCTACAACAGGAGCTCAACCAGTATATGTGGAATAAATTGAGGAAAGAGTAAATGATCTTTCATGAAAATCAAATATGTCGTATTACATGCCATATTCCTATCACTCCAGTCAGGAAATCTATGCTGACAAAAAAGAAAACAATGACAAGATTTGGGATCAGAAAAACAACAGTTATGATCTCTAGAACAGCCCAGTCAAAATGGACAGCTATGTAAAGAGACTCTATACCAGCCAAAATTTTGCCATAGGAATGAATCCTTTATGAGAACCATTGTGTCTCTGTCCAGAGTGCTGAGATTTCTGCTGGATAGACTTGGCTGTGCTTCAAAAGCAGGCAGAGCCAAGTCAGGCTGGAATACAAATGTTTGCATATTTCGTTATGTCTGACACGGAGACTTCCTTTCACCCAGGATCTCAGGATAGTCATATTTAATCAGTTACAGTTCAGACAGTTTAAATAAATTAAGCTGACTTTGTTCTGCAGAAGTTACCAAGTCTAAAGGAGGCAGCAGAAGCAGGACAAAGGACTTGTGAATCACATAGAGATCTCCCTCATAACCCTGCCTCTAATCACTAAGTGGCCCTGGGCAAGCAACCACACCTTTCTAGGCATAGATTTCCTGATTTTTGAGTTGAGTAGCCACATAATTAAGATGGAGCAAACCTTCAGTAAATCATCAGTGTGTGGCAAGCTCTTTCTCTAATTTAATCCTTTCAAAACCCTGTGAAGTAGGTATTATTATTCTCATTTAACACATGAGAAAAAAGGGCTTAGAAAGGTGAAGTCATTTGCTCAAGGCCACTCCATGAACACACAGCACTGCCTGGCTGGGAAGTCAGTGTGTTCATAGCTAGCTCCAATGGCTAAGGTGAGACAGAGACTTTCACCCATTCCGGCCTCCCAGGAGGCTGCTGAAAGCCTTCTTCACATCTGTCTGTAAACCTGGAATGCCCATGACACTCAGCGCTCATGATTTGTTACTTTTTTTTTTAAGTTTCTAAAGCGTTAAGTTTTTTTTTTTTTTAATTTCCACATTGTGTAACACTTACGCTTAAATTTCTAAGACTCAACATTTCTCCTATTAACCTGGTTCCTTAACTAAAAGAGGCAGAAGTGCCCAAAACAAAATCTTGCTGCTTCTCCATGAGTGGTCTCTTCTGCAAAGGGGGCTGCTACAGCCTTAGCTGCCTGCTATGCTCACTCACTCCTGCTCCCCAGCGGAGCTGTTACTGCATCATCACCCCTAACCCAACCAGCCAGCCAGCAGAAGGAAAGGACCACCTGCCACGAGATGCACCTGTGGGGCAGACAGGCACCGTGAGGCAGCCTGGCTGGAACATCCCCTGGGCAAGTGGGAGCAGAGGGAGCTGACATCCCTTTCTCATCCTATCATGCGCCACCTGTGGGGTGTGGTAGCTCAGCTGCCTGGTCCTTTCTCATGTGGTTTTTGTATAAAAATGGCCAAAGTCACATGTTTTGCTTTGAGGTCTCTTAAAGTTGTCTCCACATTCTTTAGTTCGTCATAACGACCAATGAAGTACTACAGTGTCCATTTTACTAAATGGAAAGCCAAGGCTCAGGCTGCTTAAGAAATTAACCTAAGATGAAACATCCAGAAACTAGCAAAGCCAGAACCCACCAAGGATCCCAAGTACAAATCCTCCGCTCCTTGAAGTAACAGAGGAGCTGCTCTGGAAACAGCAACTTTTGCTGTTTTGTAACCCCCGTGACTGCACCTGTCTTCCCCTACAGCTCTCTTCTCATGATAACTTTGTCACATCATCACATACACATTCAGCATTTTAAAGCATGATTCTGTCTATATGAGAAAGCATGCATTTGAGGCAGGTGTATCGTCGGGAAGGAAGCTATTCATCACAGCAGTTTTAACCAGGTTAAGTGATAGCACATGCATCCACATGGCAGTGTGGGTAACTACTGGTAGGATTATGAAGTAACACCTGTCATCTTACTCACTTAAACTCCGCTGGTGGCTCTTAGCACTTCCTAGTTGGGATTGTGGCTATCCTCTCACCTCTTTCCTGCCATGTTCTTCTCTCCTGAGGAACAGCTTTAGCCCTTTGCCCCACCTTCCCCCACACTCAAACCCATTTATAATGAATTAAATTCTTTTGCAAAGTATTTGTATTGTGTAAAGGACATACCGATGAAAACTGACTGTCCAAAGCAATCTAGAGAAACAAATGACAAGTTCACATTGATTCACCAACTGAAGTGAGCACTAATGAGGCCGCAAGGCAAGAGGCCCATGGAGCTGGCAGCTGCCTGAAGAGACGGGCAAGGCTATCTCTGGCGTGGAGTCCTCAGAGCCACGGAAGGCATAGCATGTCCATTACTGGGATGTGGGGGTGTCCCAACGCCCACAGCCGGCCCTCTACTCTCTGCCTGGACACATTCACCAGCCACAAAGCCCAGGGCCAGGCCCCTAGCCAACGAAGTTACATGACAGGGGCGGCAGAAAAGTCTAGAAATGGTTAAACTGACACAGAATGCTGGACTGCATGTCAACACTTACACTGTAAAGGGAGACTAAACATTCTCACCCCGTTCTTGCGCTGATTTCAGACTTAGACGGTGCTTTCCCCTGAGTTTCTAAGCTGGGGGAAAGGCAGGACCCAGTACCCACGCACAGGTGGCCAGGGCTAGGGAACAAGCCTCCCCAAGTCCCTCCTTGGCGGGCGGGGAGACGGAGACAGAAGGCAGACCCAGGATGGGGTCAGAGCACGTCCGGGCCGCGCCTCTCCGGCCAGCTAGGGTGTCCGCTACCCTTCGCTTTCACAACCCTGAGAGCCCCGGGCGGGGAGAGGGGCAGCCCTGCCGCCGGCTGGCACTCACCACGTCCATGATCTGCAGAAGGCTCAGGGAGAAGTAGACAGTGAGCGGCTGGGAGTCGTTGGCCACGGGCCTCTCCAAGGGGTTGTAGTTCTTGACCAGCTCCTTGTAGAGCTTCCTCTGGAACTCGCCTTGCAGGGACACTTAAGGAGAGGAGTCGCGGGCAGGCTGCTCAGGGAAGGCCAGCGGGGGGATGCCCAAGCCCCTGCCCGCGACCCCCGCCGCCCACCCAGCACCGCCCAGACGAGCAGCCCAGCAGCGCCCCGCGGCCCCTCGCGGGCGGGGAGACCCCAACCTGGCCCAGGCGCGGGACGCACAGAGCCGCCCGGGGTGCGCCGGGGATCCCACGGAGGAGCGGAGGGCGGGGAGCCGCGGCCGCTTTACCGTGCAGGAGCGACGCGGCCAGCGCCAGCCAGACGCCTCCCGCCGAGCCGCGCATGTTGAGTCCCGGAGCTGCCGCGGGCGGCGCGCCCCGCGTCTCGGCTGTCTGCCGGGCCTGCGCCTGCGGCCGCAGAACCGCCTCGCGGGCTCGGCTCGCGCGCCTTTAAAGAGCCGAGCGCGTCCCCGCCCCGCCCGCCCCCGCGCGCCTCTCCACGTGACGGGCCCCGTCCCCACGCCCCTCGCGGGCCGGTCGTCTCCGCGGCCGCCCGAGGAACCGCTGCCCGCGAGGGCGAGCGGGAGGTACGACCGGACGCTGGGAGCTGTCCCTCCGCACCGCGCCTCCAGCCATGCCAGGGGCTGTCCAAGGCCGCTCTGCCTTTCCCTTCGGTCCTTTGTCCCCTCTCCGCCCCCTCCCACTCTGAGCGAGAAGCTGCGCCGGGCAGTAGGCAGACAGTCCCGGCAATTCTGGGATCCAGTCCTCCAGGACTCCGTCCCCCACGCCAGCAAACGGATGGCAGCGATCCGGAACTGGGCGTCACTAGCTAGAGTCGGACTGGCTTCTGGAAGTGCTGGCGGCAGTCTATGGGGGAGGAGAGATGCTGGGAAAGTGTGTTAGGGGATTCTCAGTAGCTACCCTAATGCATGTCTCATTCTCTTTTAAAAGAAATTCAAAAGATTCAAAAGTTAACTCCCAACTCCTTGCTGGAAAGGAAAGCCAAAACTTGGTGTTCTTATCCAGGCCTTTTTGAGCGCAGTGGAGTTGATGGGAAGGGCAAGCCTGGAGAGGACAACAGCCAGGGAGGTCCAGGGAGTGCAGTGTGGAGAGAGTTCTTGGTGTTGAAGAGGAGGCGTGATTCTGGAAAAGGGAAGGAAAGGAAGGAGTAGCTTCAAAAGTAACTGAAAGCTCTGTCCCATTTGCTCCCAGAAGTGGGCTGCAGAAAGCCCAGGACAGTAGGGCTCTGGCTCCTTGCGTCCCTGTAGGGGGCGCTGTCGCCTGCCTTCCTGCAGACCCCAAAGCATCTGAGCTACACCAGTTCAACTCCTCTGGGCCTTGCATTGCACATTTCTGAACTGCCTAAAACACAGGATTCTTGAATGACATCAAGAACGAGGGAAAGGCTCACCAAAAGGCGACTGAGCTTGAACGTACACCAGTAACAGGAATGGGGGACTGAGCCTAAGTTATTTAATTTGGAAGAATGGTGAAATGCAGAGCCCTTGCAATGAAGTGTCTGGAAGCAAATTCATTCCTGTTAACGGACACTTGTATAAAGAAATAATAAGTATAGGATTTGATAACTGTATTAAGAGCCTAGAAGGAGGAGGATTAACTCTTTCTTGGGAAAGGTTCATACAAGAGGTGACAACTGACCTGGGTTCACCTCAAAGGAGAACAGATGTTCTGCCAGGGAAGGGGGCATCCTGGAGAGCAGACCAGCGTGTGCTTAGCTGCATCTGGCTCCTGAGTCCCCCACCCTCTCCAGCAGTCTGAATACTACAAAGCAGGCACTTGGTGAAGGAATGAGCTACAGGGGATTGGCCGCTAGCAAAGGGGGAATGAGAGAGGGGAAATAAAACCAAATAACAGAATAAAGGAACCACATGAGGCATCGACTGAAAGAGTCTCCCTGGCACGCTGCCTCCACTGGTCATGTGAATGTTGGTGTTCACTCTCCTGCGCACTTGTCGAGAGCGCCTAAGCGCCTGCCTTCCATTCTGAAGGGCCATGAGCCCACGGGGCCAAGAGGGAATTTTTTTTTTCTGGAGTATAGTCTGTGGGATCACGTTCCTGAAACCAGAACTGCTTTCTTACCTCCATTGCACCCCAGAATATCAGAAACCTAGAAATAAACCACTTTCAGGTAGGACCAGTAGTCAATGAATATTTATTTATCCCGTTATCAGCTAGCTAGGCACTTCGAGACCTACAAGCACAATCCACTGTCTGAGTTTGTAATTTGGAAGTGCCGTACATGTGAAAAATAAATTCCAGTCTCCACTGTGCCTTTAAGTAGGTCTGTGAGTTTGGCTGTGCTCACTCCTATCTACGGGACTCAGGGTTTTCATTTGTAAAATGAAGAAAGGAGTAGGAAATTTCCCAGAATAGAGCTGACTGAGCCATACTGGTCCCACCATCACTCCCATTTCCAACATAATGAAATGGTAAGTGAAATATGACAGAAAATTAATACACACTTGAGCATATCAAAAATATGGAATCTAAGGATAAGAGTCTGAAATTTTAACACACTCCAGGGAGGCAAGCTGACTTTGGGCTGTGGGCCTATGAAAGGTGGGAAACTGGAACAAAGAGAACCACATAAATCCAGAGACTGGAAAAATTTCCCCTTATATGGAAAAGAACAGAAAACCCCAGCCATGACCCGGGAAAGAGAGAGAAAGCATGTTTTCTGCTTGGACTCTAAATAGGGAAAAAAAGGTAATTGTAATTTAAAAATCCAAAAGCACATTAGGCTTAGTTGTGGAGTCCAAATGTATACTACCCGCATGGTTTGGAATTCACAAATTCCTCTGGAGGAAGACTTTTTAACTTTACACACATGAGACTCAAAAAAAGAGAAATCACAAGAGTCACGAACGTTAAGTTCAAAATAAAAAATAGAAAACATTGAAGGAAATAAACTATACATCACATGAGGCAATAGTCAATAGTAAGGGAAGATCTGAGGGCAGAATAAATAGGAAAATTTGTGCCCCACAATTTGGGATAATAAGATAATCTGAAAAAAATTATAAAATTAGTATGTTTAAAATGCTAAAGCTATTGAGCATGATGGATAAGGTCAGCCGCAGTGATAACCCTCAATTCTCGTTGGCTTAACACTGCCGAAGTTTATTGCTGTCTCACACCATAATCAAAAAGATCAAGTGCTCTCCTGGGTGGCTACCCTCCTCACCAGATCGTTCAGGGGTACAAGATCCTTTCATCAAATGGAGAGTGAATACGATATGAGGCAAAAGCAATATTCAAAGAATTCTGAGAAATTTTCAATAGTGATGAAAGACATCAAACCAGATTCACTTAATCATGGATTTGGTTAACTGCTGAATTTAGTTTCTCAGTAGATTTTAGAGGAATTTATGTATTTATATATTATATATAAAGATATTTCTTATAAGAATATATACATAATTTATTATAAGGAATGACTCACACAATTATGGCGGCTGAAAAGTCCCAAGACCTGCAGGGTGAGTCAGCAAGCTGGGGACCCAGGAGAGTCAATGGTGTAGTTCCAGTCCGAATCTAAAGGCCTGAGAATGAGAAAGGCTGATGGTGTAGCTTCAGTCTGAAGGCCAGCAGGTTGGTGACCCAGGAAAGGCCAATATTCAATTTATCCGAAGGCAGGAAAAAGCTGATGTTCCAGCTTGAAGTCCATCAGACGGTGGGAATTCTCTCTTTCTCAGGAAGGATCAGCCCTTTCCTTCTATTCAGGCCATCACCCAAAATACAGAAATAGAGTAATATTAACCAAATATCTGGCCCACCTGTGGTCCAGTCGACACATAAAATTACCCATCACAATATCCAATGGAAGTATGTACACATGTTCCCCAAAAATCATGTTCAAAAATGTTCATTGCAGCAGTATCCATAATAGCTCCACACTGGAAGCAACCGAGTGCCCATCCATAGTAGATGCTATGGTGTCTACTACAATAAGATACTACATGACAGTTAGGAAGAACAAACTAAAGCTACATCTAACACAATGGATGGCTCTCACAAACATAATATTGAGGGGGAAAAGCCAGGCTCGAAAGAACACATACTGTAATATTTGATACATATAAGTACAAAAACATCCATACCTAATCTCCAGTGTTAGAAGTAACCATTAGGGGGTGGTGACAATAACTGGAAAAAAATCTTCCTGCTTGCAGCTAATATAGCTTCATTGCTGCTAATATCAGATCCTCTGAAGAATGCTGATATGTATGTTTTAGCCGCTGTAGTCTGTGGTTCCAACATTAGGCTGGTTTTCCAAGCCTTTCGGTGCTATTCAAATCTGTCCTGGATCTGTCGCACAGTGGTCAGTTAGGAACATGAGCACAGGTCTATTGGTTGTCTCAGTTCTCCAAGTCTTTAGTATGCCGATTACAATCAGATCTATGAATGTACAGGTCAGAGGTGAGTCCAGGAGTTGGTAAACAGCTTTATGGGGCCACTTTCCTGAGCTCACTCTCCGTTGTCTCTCCAGTACTGTCTGCTTCCCTGAAGTTCACTTTTTCAGTCCTCTGCTCAGAAACTGCCTAGTATCATGATTGTACCTGATACCAGGCCCACGCCATGCAGAGCAGAAAGAAAAATAAAAACACCTGTAATGGATTCTTCCTTCTTGGAGCTGTAGCTGCATTGAAAGCTAAAGGAAGGTTTTCTCTCTCAGACACTCAGCTCCTACAGTTTTCCACTGATGGCTGCTCCTGCTCTTGCTGCTACCCCTGTAACACAATTGCCTGGGGCGAGGGTACAGGAATTGAGAAAATGGAGAGGGAAAAAAATGGAGCTTTCCCCTCACTCTCTCTGCATTCCTCTTTTCTGGTCTTGGAACATGAGCTGGAGGGTTTCTGTTGTTTCCCCATCTGTACCAGAGTGCTCAATTCTGGTTTTCAATTGCATCCAATTCAGGTTGGGAAATATGTAAGGAAAAAAAAGTTAAACTCACCAGCAGTTTACCCGTACTCTGAACTCTGATGGTTTCCTCTGATCTGCCTATTGATGTTTACTTTGCAGAATTCCCGAATTGCCACCGGTGCATTCTGTTTGGGTTTGTGTGGATAGCTGTGTTCCCTGGGACAGGAAGGTTGGCGTGTGTTTACTCCACCTTCCCTGGAACTGGATCTTGAAAGTTACTTTTACACCTACTATTTGTTTAAAGTTACTAATATAATTTGTATGGGCAATAATTTAGTTAATTTTATCAACATATTGTTTCTTAATTCAGTCTCCTTCCCTCAATTTTTCTTATAAACATACACTTTTGCTATTTATTTTAGTGACTGTCTTTGTATAGTAACCCTGTCCATAGTCATCTATAAATGTCTCTA